TTAGGGCATAGGTTCAGTTGCTGTTACAGGACCCCAAGTTAACATTGGCTTAAAAAAGTAAGAAATTGATTTGCCTCTTACTTAATGGTCTAGGCCAAAGGTTCTCAACTAGGGGCCCCAAGGAAATGTTTGTCTGCAGATGGTTCTTGTGGCAGGGGGTTCTACTGACATCTACCAAATAGAGGCTAGGAATGGTGAAAGTATCTTACAATGTACCACAAAGAATTATGTGGTCAAATGTCAACAGAGACACTGTTTAGTCATGAGCAGTTCAGGGTTGAAAGGATGGCTCTGCTCCATAAGATTATCCTTCCATCTTTTGCTCTACCAGCTCTATAGGTTTTCTCACATCTGATTGGCTCACCAATATGGCTCACCAGCCAGAGAGAAGGGGAAAGAGGGACAAGAAGGAAGACACACCTCTTCCTTTTCAAGGCATGACCCGAAAGTTGCACACATAAATGCTCACATCCTTTTGCCCCAAACATGGCCACAGAGTTTGCCTAGCTACATAAGATGCTTGGAAGTGTGGTCTTTAATCTGGGTTGCTATGGGCCCTCCCATGAACTTTATTATTGTGTAATAAAGGGAGACAATTATAGACAGTCCCTGACTTACGATGGTTTGACTTATGATTTATGACTCTATGATGGAGCAAAATTGATATGCATTCAGAAGAATTTGTACTTCAAATTTTGAATTTTGATTTTTTCCCCCAGTCTAGTAATACATGGTACGATATTCTCTTGTAATTCTGGGCAATGGCAGTGAGCCGCAGCTCCCAGTCAGCTATGGATCACAACAGTAAACAATCGATAGTCTACATTATACTGTGTTGCCAGCATTTTTGGATACTGTGTTTTCACATCCCATCATGTCTACAAAACAACCCTCTGGGTCTCTTGCTTCTGGTGGGAAAAAGAAGAGGAAGGCAATAACCCTTGAGAAGAAACTAAAGATAATTGTCCAACTGTAGGCAAATGTAAATGTTCTGAGCACGTTTAAGGTAGGTTAGGCTAGGCTATGATGTTTGGTAGGTTAGGTGTATTAAATGCATTTTTTACTTATGATATTTTCTACTTATGTGTACAATGGGTTTATCAGGACACAATCTCATTGTAAGTCGAGGAACACTTGTAGTACTTCCTGCCATAGTGCCTATCCCTGCTACTAGATGGTATGTCCAGAGTGAATATTGTATCTCGTTCATCTCTACATCCTCAGAGTAATGACTAGGCCTAGCACCTGGAACCCAGTAGTTGTTCAGGAAAGGTTTGAGGAACGAAGGGCTATTAAGCAGTCTTAGATGGGACATTGGTCATCTGCAGACTGACCTTCATTTTCAATCTCAAAACTTGTCATAGATACAGAACTGCTTTATCATTTGCTTATTTTTAAAAAAATTTTATTTAACTATATATATGTATATATATATTATATATTATGTATGTATTATATATATGTAGTTCAATTATAGTTGACATACAATATTATATTAATTTCAGATGTACAGCATAGTGATTAGATATTTATATAACTTATGAAGTGATCACCCCCAAAATCTAGTACCTATCTGGCACCATACATAGTTATTACAATATTATTGAATAAATTTCCTATGCTGTATTTTACATCCCTGTGACTATTTTTTATAACTGGCCATTTGTACTTCTCAATCCCTCTCACCTTTTTTTCCCATCTGCCCATGGTCCTCCCATCTGGCCACTTTCAGTTTGTTCTCTATATTAATGAATTTGTTTATGTTTTGTTTATTTATTTATTTTGTTGTTTAGATTCCATATATAAATGAAATCATGGTATTTGGTTTTTTCTGTCTGTCTTATTTCACTTAGCATAATACCCTCTATGTCCATCCATGTTGGCACAAATGACAAGATTTCATTCTTTTTTATGGCTGAGTAATATTCCATTCTATATATGTACCACATCCTCTTTATCCATTCATCTATTGATGGACACTTAGGTTGCTTTCTTATCTTGACTATTGTAAATAATGCTGCAATGAACATAGGAGATCCTATATCTTTTCAAATTAGTGTTTTGGATTTCTTTGGATAAATACCCAGAAGTGAAAGTGCTGGGTACATGGTATTTCTATTTTTAATTTATTGAGGCACCTCCATACTGTTTTCCACAGTGGCTGCACCAATTTGCAGTCCCACCAACAGTGCGTGAGGTTTCCTTTTTCTCCACATCCTCACCAGCACTTGCTTGTTGATTTACTGATGACGCCATTTTGAAAGGTGTGAGGTGATATCTCATTGTAGTTTTGATTTGCATTTCCCTGATAATAAGTGATGTCCTCTTTGGAAAATGTCCATTCATGTCCTGTGCCCTTTTTTTTTTTTTTTTAAGATTTTTATTGGGGAATTGGGAGGATGGGAACAGTGCTGGGGAATTGGGGGAAGGGGAACAGACAAGTTGCTGTCGTTTTTGTTCTTCAGTCTAGTTGTGGAGGACGTTGCTTCACTGGCCCAAGTTGGCACCATCATTGTGCTCTTCCCAGGCAAGACAGATCAGTCACCGGCTTCTGGACAGCCGCTCACTGCGGCTGCTGGCCGCTCACGGCAGCCCATGGCAACCCACTGCCACAGGGGCTGCAGCCTCTGCCGTCGCCGGGACTCACGGCTGCCCAGCTCCAGGTTGAGCTGTTGTTCAGCATCTTAGCTGTAGAGGGCAGTGTCACTGGCCCTCATATGTGGGATCCGAACCGGGGCCCTCTGGCGTCCCAAGCCAGTTCTTAACGATCGCGCCACTCAGCCGGCCCTCCTGTGCCCATTTTTAATTGGACTTTTTTTTTTACATTGCGTTGTATGAGCTCTTTATATATTTTGAATGGTAACCCCTTATTGGGTGTATCATTTGCAAATATCTTCTCTAATTCAGTAAGTTGCTTTTTTGTTTTGTTGATGGTCTCCTTTGCGATGCAACAGCTTTGCAGTTTTATGTAGTTCTGTTTGTTTATTTTTGCTTTTGTTGTCTTTGCCCTAGGAGACATATCCACAAAAATATTGCTAAGACCAATGTCATATAATTTATTGCCTATATTTTCTTTTAGGAGTTTTATGGTTTCGGGTCTTACATTTATTACTTGACTTCCTTTTGATCACCAAGACCCTAATAGGGCAGTTGCATGAGCTTCCTCATGACCCTATGGCACCCATCTCCCAAATGTCCCCAGCTTTGAGTGTACCTTGAAATTCCTTCCTTTTTGGTGCTGCTATCTCTGGCCAAAGAGAAATACAATCATAGCCCAGAGTATCTCTTGGGGTTATGGCGAAGTTATATTTGTTGGCTGTGAGATAGCTGTTTAGGTCTCCTTGAAAATGTCAATTGGGCACTGTCACAGTCTGCCAGTCCTCCTCAGGCCGCTTCCATTTGTTTTATCTCTGGCAGGACATACTCTATTAAAAATCATTCCAAACTGATTTTACTTATTTTTTTATTATTCTTTATTTAATTGCTTATACTTTCACAAGTATGACAGACATTTTGGCAGCTGGAAAGAAGAGTAGACAGCTGGGACAGCTAATTTAACCTGGGATGATCCTGTATCACCACATGCATCCCCTCAGAGGCAAAGGAAGGAACTGCCTCTTGGTTTTCATGTTGAGTTCATGAAAAAGTGAATGATCCTTCCCACGCTTTCTCCTGGCTTCACCTCCCCTCAACCCAGCTTTTATCTCACTGAATCCTTTCGGTTTTCCCTATGGGTAATCTAGCCAATGGTTCACAACCCTCTTCTGGCCACCACTTTCCAATGCGAGCACCAAAATGGAGACTCATGAAATGATTCCCAATGGACTGATTACTGTGCAGCTATTTTCTCTATGAGAGCCAAAGTTGGGAACTGAAGCATGCTAAAATAGGAAGGACCCTGGACTGAGCCTCAAGGTCTCTCAGTTCTAACTTGCCTTGGTTAATAAGTCACTGAGTGATCTTGGACATGTCCTTTTCCTTTTCTCTAATTCTATTTCTCCATTTGTATGAATTAAAAGGATTAGATTGGAAAAACTCCTGAAAGTATTCCAGTTTATTAGTCCTTTACATCAATAAAGTGTTTTCACAAGTACAGTCTCAATGGTTTGAATGTGAGCTCTGGAATGAAGCAAATCTGAGTATGAATCCAGGCCTCACCCCTTTCTAGGTGTGTGATCTGGGGTCAGTTATTTATTCTGATTTAGTTTCTCTTGGCCAGAAGCCTGCAGGGTATAAGAATGGTGTGGGAAGCAGAGCCCTTGTCCTCCTAGTCCAGCGTTGTGAGGGACTCAGGTGGATTTTCTTTTCACAGTTTCACGGAAAGGAGGGAGAGGGACGTGGAAGTAGAGTGTCAGCCTGGGGCTCCCTCCTCCTCCAGGACAGTGTATCCCACCCTCCTCTTTCCGTAGCCCAAATCACTCTCTTTATTGGGAAGAGACAGGAATGGAGAGATTAAAAAGAGGAATTCAGGTCCAGGCACCCACTGTGTCCTGCTGTGTTACCTAGGGAAAGGCAAATGACCTCTTTGTGCCTCAGTTTCCTCCTTTGTAACACGAAGGGTTAGGACTTGAGATCTGTAAGGTCTCCATCTGGCTCTTGAAGTCTGGGGCTCGCCACTCAGTGTAGTCCCCAACACCCCCTACCACATGTCCTTCCTTTGCCCCTTACCAGTTACTTCATTAGAATCTGTATCCTCATAACCCCACCAGCCACCAGAGTACTGTTCTCTCTGATCGTACCCAGCCTGGACACAGCACACTGTGGTACCCACCTGCCCCCAGCCCTCACCTTCTGGAAAGACTCAATCTCCTGCCTCAGAAGGCCTGAAGCCAGCTCCAGAACTGTTCTCCTTGGAGAGCACTTGCACTGACGTCTGTGTTTCCTCTCCTTCCTCAAAGAACTCCCCCCACATCCTTCCCGGATACTGTCCCAAACACAGGCCAAGAAGAAATCGGCCTGGGGGAGGGAACCGGTAGGCTCCTGAAAGGAAGAAAGGGAAACGCAACCTCATCAGGAGCTCCCTCCCTAGCGCACTGAGGCGCTTAGCTCTAGAGTCATCAGTGGGTTAGGGACGCCCTCTTTGATAGCTGCACTAGCCTCCTCTGGGCTCGGTACGGACTACCGCAGTCCTCCAGGCTCCCTTTCCTGGTTCCTCCCTCCTTCCCATCCTCTCCCCCTGTTGTCCCAAACTTCCTCCCTCCAGAGAAAAACTTTGCCGCCTCCTCTCAATAGAGAGGCAGAAAGTTGGGAGCGCTTTAAGAAGTGAGCAGGACCTGTGTGGTCGCCGGCTCCCCAGTCGCAGCTTCGGAATAGGGGTGCTCTGAACCCCAACCGCTCACCTGCAGCCAAAGGTTGCCAGGGAATTGCGGGCCTGGGAGGAGACAGGGTGTAGGCAGAGAGCGAGAGTCCCTGTGAGATTGCCTAAGCTGTGCTCGTCTCACGAATATCTGGGTATCTCCGAGGCCCGAGGAGAGGTCTCAGGGGAAGAGGGCAGCAATCGGCTGAGAGAATAGCAACGGAGAGGGGCCACAGGGGGCGGTAGAGTCAGAATTCAGAGGTGAGAAGTCAGAGGACAGTTTAGATCCCTAACTTAAACCCTTACCCCCCACTCCCAGCCTTTTTCATCGGAGCAAGGAGCGAGAGAACTCAGGAGGAAGCGAGAGTGCAGCACTGCCCTCTGTGCCCCAGGATGCTCGCGCCCCGCCATGGCCATGGTGCCCTGGCTGCCTTGGCCTCCGGCTTCCTGATCACTCTGCTCGGGACTCCAGGTAAGCGACAGGGCGCATCACAGCTGACGGAGAGCTGCGTGCGGTCCTGGTGTTCCAACCCCGCAGCTCACCCGGGAGAGGTCAGGTGAAGGGTGCCACACAGAGAATAAAGGGTCTTCATTGGCCTGTGGCCTGCTGGGTGGGCCTCTGAGCCCAGACCCTCAGCCAACTAAGGCTGGAAGCTACCGTGATCAGCTGTGGGCCAGCGAAAAGAAACAATGGCCCCCAAGGCGAGGGTGGCCAAAGCCTGTGACAAGGAATTTTTGCGCACAATGGTTGGTAGCCCTTTGCTGACTTTCCTAACAGGGAACACACAGTTGCTGCAAAATATGTAGAAAATTCCCCTCTGGAGGTGATATCTTCATTTATTCTAGGCTGTGGAGCGTTGCCTTTCCCCTCTGTTGTACTGCCATAACTCCCAAAGGTGGGCGCTGATCTTTCTATAGAGCCTCTAGGCAGAGTGCAACCTGTATCTCCAAGATTAAGTCCATAAATTTTGAGGAACTGAGCAATTAAAGGGAAAAGACACATTTGTAGTCTTTCTCTGACCCTTGAAGGGTACGACGAGAAAAGTAAGGGACAAAGAATTCAACTTGGTTTCTTTTTCGGGTGCAGTTTTTCAAATGTGTTGTTGTTTATAACTGTTGAAGATTTGTCTGTCCCAAATATGTTTTAAATTATATTTTGAAAAAAAAAAACAACAGAAAAATAACAAAACAAAAACAAAAAAGCTCCAACTAAACACAGAAGTCATTGTTTGGGTTAGCCTTGGTACTCTTTCCTGTAAAGCAGAGGCAGGTGAAGTGACCCTCCGGTAGATGGCGCCTGCTGCTTCGGGTAGTGGTTGCTTTTCCAGCCTGGAAACCCTAACGTCTTCAGTCTTTTGCTGGTGGGCCACATACTTGAAAACGCTAGCAGGACGGTAAACAGCACCTGTCCCTGCCTTCCCTGAAGTCTCGAGATGGCTTGTTTTGCTGCTTTTAGATCTCCTGAGACGCTAAAGTATTCAGAAAATCTCAGGGCTGAACTATCCATCCACGGTCCCCCAGCCAATTCCCAATGTGGCCTAAGTGTGGGGAAAGCAGTAAAGATGAGATACAACTGGACAATCTGAATAGCTTATTTTTTAGCTGCCATCTGCATTTTCCTTCATCATCCAGTTTTCTGTTCTTGGAGTTTCAATACCCTCTCCCATCCTTTCCAGGCTTTCTGTTGAACTTAACCTTTATATCATCAGTAAGAATCTGGAGTTGTCACTGTGACTCTTTGGTCAAATTATTTCAACTCTTTGAACCTCTCAAGGTCCATTAAGATCATTTAATCCAATATAATGGGAGTGATAATACATCATGTGTTAGTCATTTAACAACTCTTTATTGAGATGTCTGTGGTAGAGTGCAGAGGTGGGTATCTGAACAACTGGTCTTTGGTCCTGGCCCTATCATACACACACTGTGTTTCCTTCTTCTCTGTGAGCCTCCGTTCTTTACTTGTAAAAGAAAGGAACAAATTCTCATTTGGCTTCCATATTCTTTATCAAGGAGAAGGAGAGTACCAGATCAGAAAGAGTAAACCAAATATTGGTGGGAAAGAGATGACATTTGCAATGCATTAGAGATGGAAAAGAGCACCTTACTGCCAGAATTGGGTGTAAGTCTCCCAGCTAGAAGAATGGCTTCCCTGAGCACTGAGAAAACATGTGGATGCAAACTGCTGAACCACTGAAAATAGTTACTAAGTAGTTGCAGAGATGTCACATATCTAGAGATGGCTAGTTGTAGTCCTATATTTCAAAAAGAAGGAAAATTATTACAAAACCCATGTTCTTTATGCTGCTCTTTGCAAGAATCTAGAATTAATTATTTACAAGTTTATTACTGAAGCTTTTAGAATAGGAATTCATAATCATGAGGTCTGATGTTGGTTCATTGAAGATAGGACTTGGCAGAACAACTTTTTTGCAGTAGGATTTCTGGATTGAAAACAGAGGAATGCTGGAGAAATAGAATATTGAGCCTCCCAAGGCATTTTGTAAAGTTTCTTCCTGTTAGAGATATATGAAGATTAGACTTAGGGGAATTTGTAAATGTTTGGAATAGCCTCAGAACCGCTGGTTAGAGGGTACACATAAAGTATATTTTTAGAATGGATATGAGTCTGGAGGACAATTTCTGAATGAGGACAAAAAGCTATGCTTTGGCTTTATTCTCTTCGATAATTTTGTGCTTGAATAGGATGATATTGATGGTGTAGTGAGCAAATAATCAACTAAAAATAAGGGAGATATAGTCAGTTATAGAATTGGAATAAAAAATGGCAATAAGAAATTAAATAATCACAAATGCAAGTTCATGACTTTGGGTACCCCTCCCGCAAAAACAAGAGAAAGGGGGAAATAAAACCTTTAAGAAAAGAATTAGGAAGACATGGCTTATAGACACATATTTGTGAAAAAGACAAAGGTATTTTTCAACCTATATTACATTGTTGGTGTATGGAACTTACAGGCAAGAAAAACACATATTTTGATTTTAGATGATCTTAATAGAAATAGTATCCAGACTCAGAAAGGCTCAGAAAGACACAAAAAGACCCATAAAATTCCACTCTCTTCTTCACTGGTCAAACTACATCCGGTGTACTGCAGCCTGGCTTTGGGCCCCACATTTTCAGAGGGACACTAACAGACTACAATATTTTCATAAGAGATTAAATAGGATAGAGAGGGTCCTTGAAATTTTTTCAGGTAAGGAACAAAAAGTATATCTGGGAGAAGGAAAGGCTCTTTGAGATGCAGTAGCGAGGGGGTGGGCTGGGCTGGGAAAGCTGTCCTACAAGTGATTGAAGGGCCTTTTTACACACAAGAACATACCAACCATTTCAGCTGCTACAAATGAAATGGGCTAACTTGGGGGCCAGAGAGTTCCCTGTCACTGAGAATATTCAGAAAGGAATAAATTTACAAAGACTAAAGTCTCCCCCCCCCACCACCACCGCCTCCTTGTAATAGTCCTGTGGATATTTGAAGATGTCTCACTACTCTGCTAAACTAGCTCAGGTCCTTCCATACTTTTTCACATAACATGGTTCTAGATCCTTTCTGTCTCAATCATCCTTTTCACAGTTATCAGCATTCTACACCTCTTGAATGCAAACCCAGCTCCTTGAATTGGGCTTGGTGTTTTTGTCTTCGGGTCAAAATACTGAACTGTGCGCTGCCAACCTGTAGCGTTTCAGGGGTGGGGATGAGGGGAAGGTCAAGTAAGTTAGAATTTGATCTATCTGCATCCCCTTCAACCAGAGAAGTCTTATTTTGTATATTGAGTTTAGAATAGAAGTTCATTTGAAATGATGATCTAGCTGCTAAAATTAAAAAGAAAATAAACGGAAGCATGCTGGACTAGATGATCTCAAGGGCTTTCCAATTTCTGAGAGTCCATCAGTCGCAGACATCATTCCCAGGAAAGCTGAAGTTTCCAAGGAGCAGGGGATCTTAGGAAGCTAACCCTGCCTTTCCCTTTTCTAAGTGGTAATGCAATATATCTGAGGAACTTGGGCCCAGCCCCTTCAAATAGTAAAGTTCCAATTTATTGACTTGGTATTTAAAGTACCACCAATGTTCTTGCAGCCATCTAGGAGCCAAACATTTGTTCTGGAATCCTGGGATCTAATATTGAATTTGTTGTCCCACCTATAGAATCATATGGCCGCAGACGGTCAGAGCTGCAAGTTCACCATACATCCCAGTTTGCCCAGGACAGCCCAATGTCACCTGTTGTCACAGACTGATTGTTAACGTTTTGCAGTTCTGATGATAAATTATATGGTCACCCAACTGTGAATCCCACTGGTCCCACCCCCTTGGGTTATAGTCAGGAAACTGGAGGCCCAGAGAGGAGAAGAGACTTGCCCAAAGTCACACAGCAACTTAGTGTCATCTCTGGATATCTGGCTAGAATTATCCACCTGGTACTTAGTACTGTGGCGTTGATCTGGTAAAATGAGTATTTCCTTTTAATTTGTTTTAAAGAATTTCCCAGCAGGCACTCACACCTCTAGTTCCTAGTACTACTCTGTTTATTCCTCAGGCCCAGTCTGAACATATGTTGTTTCCTAGCTGTACTTTTCCAAAGATTATCGAAAGAGAGACATAGGTGAAGAGTTCCCTGTCTTCTACTTTCAGGATTTCTCAAATGATTAAATAGGGGTGGAATTTCTTGATGCTGGCTAACACTGGTGAGTCTGTCTACCATACAGGTCTCTCTCCAGTGGAGACCGCATTTCCTCACTTTTGTGTGGAGCCCAGCTCCCTTTCTGATGAGATGATCTATTCCATATCAGCCTCATGAAACAATAGGTTCTCCCTGATAGAGGGAAGAGACCATGAAGAACATTTAAAACTTGGTCCTTCCTTTGTTTAACTCCTATATTACCTTCTTGCCAAGTTGTCCAGTTTCTGCTTGTACATCAATAGCTTAGGAGACAGCTTGTTCCATCTTAGGAAATCTCTGACTATTAAAATATCTTCCTTATGTTCAATTTAGACATTGTCTCCCTGTGCCTACCGCCCACTAATCCTAAATCTAATCCCCCACTTTGGGCCGTGCAGAACATAATTGGCTTTGCTTTGTCCATAATATCCCTGCAGAGATCTAGAGATGAAAGGAAGTTAACATTTAAGTATTTATTATATGTCAGATACTATTTAAAACACCTTACCTTATTAGCTTGCTTAATCCCACAATAATTCTCAGGAAAGTATGACTATTCTTCTAATTACAGGTTAAAAAACTGTGACAGAAAGGAGCAGTGACTTGTCTAAGACACACAGCTTGTAAATGGCAGGCATAATTTGAAGTAAAGAGGCCTAGCTCATGCTCTTAACCATGTTCTAACGTATGTTCTTAACCACTAGGCTGCACTGTTGAAATCATGTCTCTTGGTCCTCCTGACCACCTTGCAGCTCTTCCCCACCTTGCCTTTCTTTTTTCTAATAAAGT